TTTGAACAATAAATTCATTGTTGCATTGCAGTCAGTTTGCATCAGGTTTATTTACTGTGACTTAGCTGGATTCACTGTATGTTACAGTACAGTAAAAGCATTGTTCTTAAAAAGGTGGAATGTGTAATTCATCTCATTGTCAGAGAGGCAAGTAAGTCAGAAAGTTCAAAACTCTAATTTTTAGGTAAGCATATGTATAAACAAACATTTTTCACAGCTAAACCTTACATTTGTGACCAATGATCAATTTCACACAACTATGACCCTATGTACTGAGTAAGACATTTACAGTTTCAAAATAGACTTGTCAATGCTCTCTGGTGGACAAACTATGTAACAGTGACGCTGTTTCTTAATTATCTTAAACATATCTTTAGGATTTCTGTGCTGCAATTTAGTACAGCCAAAATAAACTTGATGTAATTTAGTCCGATTTGTCAGTCTAGCTCTAAATAAACAGACATAAAATGTAACAAATGAACCCTTTCAGGTGCAGAGAAACTGACATCTTTTGCTGCATCCACATACTGACTTTAGTTTCACCTTCACCAAGTGAAAAAACACAGTTGTTGAGGTTTTTATGGTTTTACATTACAGTACAGGTGATAATGATCATCATTTTAAACTTGTTCAGTTCACGTTGGGTCGAAAAAGCATTAATGTTATTGGTATATTCATGTTGGCCATGGCATCCTGGTGAAAACCTTTTTAACAGTCACACATTATGAGTCACTGACTGACTGCTGTAGTAAAAGTTAGTGCACTGTAACTCCTGCTGATCTCATGACTCCTGACAGCTACAGTACGCTGCTTTGTAACCTAACCAGAGTCAAGGAGGAGAGGAAGCATCAGACAACTTCCAATGTTGTTTTAAACAGTGTCTTCATATTTATAGTGTCACAAATAAACCAAAACATGGCATTTTGTAAATACATCCCACCACTAGCAAACAACTGATTTGTTCAACACTAGAGCAGATTTGAATTAATTAGAGCTGCAACTACCTACTTGGGTTTGAGTGTTAAAAGGTGATCAAAAGCAGTGAAGTGAATGATTATTAAATAGATTATATTGCTAATTAGCTGTGTAATCACACCTTAGATAAAAAGCAGTTATCCTCGGTCTAAGGCAGCAGCCTGCTCTACAGGCAAATGATCTCTAGTGAAGCAGGAAGCATTAGAATAGGATGGGCAGCTACAGTTATTATGCCAGGACGGACTTATGGAGACTGGCAAACCTTAGCCGACTCTCTTCCTCTGATGTAAATTCCCCTGCACAGAGCAAACACTGCCTTCATCAACCCCAACACAAATGTTTCGATAGGGTGGGAGCTCCGCAAAGGGTGTAGAGTGGAGGGAGAAGGGCGGAGGAGGAGGAGGGGGATCCAGGGACGATTTGAAGCTATCATTCCAACCTGAGCAAGAAAAGGTGAAGGAGTGTGTGGGGGAGAGGAAGAGAAGGGTTCCTGCCGTTTTTTCAAAGAAGTCACAACAGGAGATATTGTGAGCATACACAGTGGATTTAGTGACAGGAAAAGGAGAGAAATGCAGGCAGACACGCAAAATAAAAGGATAAGAGAGGTGACAGTGAGTATTTCGTTTCAATCCCTTCCCCATTGGCTTCTCTGTGATCCTGATGCTCACCTTCCCCATTTGTTTTCCTTATTAAGTTACTGGACATGATTTGTGGTCAGAGCTGGGTTAAAACTTTGCCAGGTTACACTGTCCCCAGACATTCCACAGTAATATACTCTAATACTGTTGCACTATTTGTTGTTTAACTTGTACTGCTCTTATAAACAGTCTGAAAATAATAAAACCCAAATAAATAATTCCTAGCCTTTTTTGTGACTTTAGTATTTTTTGGTACATTTCACCTACTGAGGATTTACAGTTTGCAAGGAGATGTCTGACTCACCAGAGACTTGGAGCTCTGTTTGCAGGGCGGCTGAAACTGTCGTACGTTGGTCGGGGTTTCCTTTTCGATGGAGTGTCTCCTCTGCGGGGTCTGACGTCTCTCTGGCTGGGGTGTAGAGGAGATTGGCAGGAACATGGGGGGAGCTGGTGTTCACACAGAAAATAGAGGTAAATTGGGAAAGAGAGGCAGCTTAACTGGAAAGTAAAATCTCAGGAAAACATAGCTGGCAAGGCTGTAAGATTAAAACTCATCGATCGCTGTCAGTGTATGGTTTAGTCGAGGGGGCGACTGAGCTGTGACAGGATGTAGAAATATTTCCTGACTCACTTTTCTTCCCCAGCGCAGACTCAGGGGACGTATCATCCATCAAAGATGTAGCCACACTGGAGCTGCTGGCCGATCTGCGCCCAACAATCTCATCCTGAGTGAATGGAATACACAAGCACTTCAATCATTATTTGCTCTGCACGAGCCACATGTGAATTCTAAAGATCCATCCCAATCACACAAACTCATACTGACGTCAGAGTCAGAGCTGTCCAGCTCGGCGAGGCTGGGGGCCTTCAGGAGCCTCTTCCTCTGAGGTACAGAGTGAGATCCGGATGGCTCTACCCTGGGAGATGCTGATCCATTGGTCAGGGACAGACTGCTGGATGTCCTCCTGCCCATGTACGGACTAAACTCATCTGCACACAGCCACACACAAGAGAGGGCCGTTTAGACAAAAGGAGAATAAGCACTTGAGATGGATCTCAAAACACTTCCTCATATGATTCCTTGCATCCTGTGTTATTTATCTATATTGACTCTTGTGCCCCCTAAAACAGGGGACTGTTTTTAAATTACAGTGTCATTGAATGGGATGTGAGGTGAAAAGATGCATTGAATCTACACAGAGTACTGAGGTTTGAGATTCATCCCAAGGTTAAAGAGGTCAGGTAGGGTGAGTTAAGTTGATGGGAGGTAGAAGAGCAGGCTGGTGTTACACACAGAGTATGAATGCCACTTTCATGAAATATTTAACCTCTGAACTCCCAAAATGAGATTATCTCTCCTGACAGCCTCTGTGGTATTTTTTGGGGGGAGCTGAATCCTTGAAACCAAAAATCTTAATTGACTAACAAGGTCATTCTGCACTGACAGAGCAGTTGTTAGGTCCATCCATGTTAACAAACCACCTACCACACTGCCTAACTCTAGCTGTGGTTTCTAGGGGCGCAAAATGGTTCAAAAGAAGGTTTAGGGGGAGGGAGGGAGGGAGTGCAGGAAGAGGAGAGGGAGTGCTGTAAAAGACAGATAAAGAGCTGCAGCTGATAGGATCTATGGGAGCCCTGAAACCTCTCTCTGTTCTCCTATCAGTCTCTTCTCTTGTCCGTGGGAAAAGCATCCACATGAGCTTACTGTCTCTGCTGCTGGACTAGAACTGTCTTTCTACAACTAAGACACCACGTCACCAGGATTTAGACTTTACTAAACTCAAACAAACCAGCCATAATTGAACACTCTACCTGTGACTTGGCCAGGCTTCAGTATTCAAATATTTAAATAGAGGAAATATTAGTTTACAGCCAGGGAGGCAGACAGACAAGGCCATTAGGTTAAGGGTTAACAAGGCCTTCCAATCCACAGCAGCTCATACTTTACCTAGTCCAGTACGGAACAAATCCTGTGGCATACTGCGAGTTTTGCCAAAACCTAAAAGGGGACATCTCCTTTGTTAGGATAGCTATAAGAATATTCCACCACCAAAGGTAGCTGCATGAGCACATACATACAGTAGGTTTAAAGTGTCTTTCAATTGTGGTATATGTGCAGCCACACAGATTTGCTGCATATAATTTGGGGTAACACTACTATGGAGGGTGAACTTGGTCTCTGCCACTTTTGGGGATTTCCTGTGTAACTGTTGAATGTCTAAATGTTCAAAGAAATCCTGGTAACCCTGAATTCCAATAACAATTTCTGAACATACCCTAATCAGATGTTTTCTGTGCCTAAACCTAACCAAACCTTTATTTGTGAAACAGCTCAATTGTTGAATCTCAACTAAAAAGCTGTTAAAATGTTACAAATACTCTAGACTGTCTGTAGGCGGACTATCCAAATAAAGTGGAATAGTAGTTCAAGGTTCAGGGAAATATGCTTATTTACTTTATTACGTAAAATTAGACGAGTAGATAGATACCACACTTGTGTCTGTGCATTAAGTGTATAGCTAGAGCGAGGGGTTGATAAGCGTAGCTTAGCATAAAGAATGGAAACAGGTGGAAACCGCTAGCCTGGCACCTGCAAAGCTAGCTAATTAATTTGTTTGTTTACAAACAAAAAAACAGTGTAAAAACAACAAGTTTTGTAACTATTTATTGGCAAACAGTGATGCAGTAACTTCTCTAGAGACAGGAAGACATCCAGACAAGAGAAAGTTTGTCTACAACAAAACTATAACTTAAAGTTTTTTCATTTCTGTTTGTGTAACTTTGGACAGAGCCAGGCTGCTTCACTTATTACTCCCTGCTAAAAGTAATTAGTTACACTACTAGTTATATTAGTTTTCCCACAAATTTAGTAATTGTATCCCTTCTTCCCAAAATTCAAACTAATGATTATCAAAATCCAGTTTTGTTTGTTAAAATCAAAGCAATACAAATATTTCCAGCCACTGAATATAAGCGTCTTCTCCATGTTCCAAGGTAGTTTCCTCCACGATTATAAAAATGAATCCAAGGATGTGATGGGGGTAATATTATTATTAGTAATCAGTTACACTACTAGTTACTGGGGAAAGTAATATTATTACTGTAATATTTTTAGCAATGAGTTACTGCCCAGCACTGCCTACCTCTAGTGTCATATTTACTGCACAGACTTGAGAGTGGTACCAATCTCCTCATCTAACTCTGGGCAAGAAAGTGAATAAGCATATTTTCCAAAATTTCCAACTATTCAAGTAGTTGTTGATGAATTATAAACATTGCAGTGGGACACACCATCTCCATTTTGGCAGTTGGCAGGGAATGGAAAAAAACCCCACCACCAAACAACAAAAAAAACGACCCAGAAGTACATACATCACCAAGAGTTGTATAACAACAGTGTTTATATCTTGTGAAATGGATTTCTCCTTGAAGCAGCATTTTCTTGTTCCTGATTAAAACCTTAATCATGTTCATTAAAGTGTCAGTGGGTATGTACCATCTCCCCCTGAAATATAGTCAAACTGCTCACTCCATATGAGAATGATCCATTACAGAGGGCAGTCCGTACACACACACAAACACACACACACAGATTTTCGGACAGCATGAATGAGTAAGCGTGAGGTGATAAAGCTTGAGCTGTGATGAGAGACACTGGTTTCAGTCAGAGGGAAAGTAGAACGCAGCATTATTCTGATCCCCCTGCCTCAGCAGTATTTTCTTATCACCTCAATCAAAAACTGTCTCATCAAATTGGTCCTACGCATTTGAAGCTAAACACATGCCATTGCTGAGAGAACATAACTCAGTTTACTGAGCGTCCTGTGCAGTGCACCCTGATTCAATTCTGCAAAGTCACTGTGGCACATGAAAGACTCCTTTGTATGAAGTTGATGATTCTTGAGGTGGCAGGAACTATTTGGCCTGTTCCCTTTCACTCCTTGATTAGATAGCTGGCTGCACACACTTCTACTTAAGATTCACATTACAGCAGTGTATTTGACAGATGATGCACTTAGCAAAGGTGACACTTTTCCTGAGTGTTTAGAGTTCAGCAGCATCAACCAGGAACATTATACAGGATCCTGGGCATTTGTTTGACAGGAGCTGCAGATAAAATTGACTTGTATGAGCTGTACTCTTAAGACAGCCACAGTTCTATCATTCAGTAGGATTATAACATCAAAACGATATCCTCCGAAGAAAGATTTGAAGTGCACTGAGGCAGCAATAGTGTCATTTCACAACTCTTCCTTCAGAATTCCACATAAGCATAAGCTGTAGTCAGCAGTAATAAAACTAAAAAAGAAACAATGACATTGTACATAAAACTCTCTAGCTGGATAATACTACATCATTAAAACCATCACTGGCCCTTAATTGAGTATCTAAACTCTGGCGTAGTTACTGTAGCACCAAGAGCAGTACAGCACTTTAGGACCTCTGACTAACATCAGGGCCGTAGCCAGCCAGGAGTCCAAGTCCCTCAATGCAGTTGTTCTTATTTCACTACAGATAAACTAATGCATTGATTGTGGTGGATCTATGTGTTTTTTCCAGTAGGTTCAGTCAAGTTTGCTCTCATACTACTAACGCTCAGAGGGCCAGAAGCTGGATGTTTTCAAGCTCTATTTTTTATCAGTGCTAAAAGTAGTAAAATGTGAATATACTGAGTAGCATCAAAGGTCCAGTGCGTGAAGTTCCAGATTGCAACCAACTAAATAACTGCTCGCTTCCAAGCATGTAGCAGAAACTCACAAAAAACAAACAAGAAGGCCCTATCTAGAGCCAGCGTTTGGTTTGTCCGTTCTGGGCCACTGTAGAAACATGGTGGTTCAACATAGCGTCTGTAGATAAAAACGTCTCNNATGGCGGTTCAACATGGCGGACTATATGGAAGAGGATTACTCCCTCTGTACATAAAAACTGCTCAATTTTAAGGTAACGAAAACACAACTGTTTTTATTTTAAGGTGATTATAGACTAATGAAAACATCGTTATGAATATTGTATTCAGTTTCTGCTAATAGATCCTCCTTAACACACTGGACCTATAAGTATAAGTTGCAAAACCCCCAAAATTAAATTGATTGAATAAATCAAGTCTGTGACTACAGCTCTACTATGTTTGTACTGTGACTGAATATCCTGTGTGCCCATTCTGCCTGGTCAATGTGTCACTCATCAGTTTGCTCTCACCAGTGTCCTCCTACTGACCAGTGTCCCACATCACCATGTTTCACCTCCACAGACCACAGCCAACCATCACCAACCACTGAAGCATGACGTGAAATGTGTATGCAGTGCGTTGATACAGTACGTTTGATGTGTGTGCAGAGTGTGCAGGCTGGGAGAGCAGCCACAACAAGTAGGGAAACAGAAAGAGATATAAAGCCAGGTAAGCAGACTTTACCTGACGCATCAAAACTGAAAGACATGCTAAGTGGCCGAATTACTGCAACGAGAAACAGTCATGGCATCGGACATCAGTTATTGCTTGTGATTAGGAGGCAAATGAAGGCAAGACTTAACAGTAACACATTAGAGGTTGTAATCTGCTTGTATTTGGCAAGAAATGCAGGGGTATAGCATGCTTATTGTTTAGTTTTAGATCACTGAAGTATAACTACTTTCATAATAGGATTTGTAATAAGCCACAGCCAATGGTGAGAGATTACTGACATTGAGAAACAGTAGCAGTTTCAGCGTTGTTAGTGTTAACGGAATTGCAGACACTTAGCATTATTATTCATGTACAACTTTCTCTATATTGCAATGTTGACAACAAAACAATAATAGGCATTAGTTGCAACACAAATATGAGAAGTTAGGCAGCACTGGCTACGACAGGCACAAACAATAGTGTAATAAAGTGTGAAAGAAACTAAAAAATAGCTCAAAATAATGAAGCTACTACACATTCCTCAGTTGAATTTAGTTGATTTGCACATGATGCCCAGCAGGTGCAAGCATCAGCTCCATACTTCAGCATAAAAAATACATTTCAGACTGAAGTATGTTTTCATGTGCATGTGTTTGTGTATATATGTGTGAAGCAAAGGTATAAAAATAACAAGGGACAAAGAAGCGTTGAGTTTCCTTACCCAGCCTTCCCCTGCGGACCTCACCAGGAGAAACCGGTCGAAGTTTCCTCTCTGCTTTGATTTCCTCCAGGATGCGCTCATGCAGCGTCGGCGGAGCCTGAGTCTGTGGCTTCAGCTTACGAGCTGACACCTAGAACAGGTTGATGATGGGTAAAATATAAATAATGACAGAGAGGAGGTAGAAGGGAGCACAACAACTGACACAAACAAACAGCCAGCAGGCCTGTTCGTCACCACCTCCTCATATCTCCTGTGACTGATTGTTCTCCAAATTACCCAGAGTTCATCACCCTGCTGAAACAGCGCCTGCTAGTTCTGCAGCAAGATTTATATCAACAGAGAACTGATGAATGCAGCATTTCACTGAAGACACAGTGCAGTGAAACTTGAACTAGAAAGCTGCAAGATTCCTTTTTTACAGAGAGGTTGCGCTGGTTTTTAATATCGTTTTTTAAACTCTTTTATATGATGGCGTTAAAGAAAGAGTGTCACCTACATAAGGTTTAATGTGAATCATATAATGAGGTCTAGAGCATTCCTTTTTTTTATTTGGTATATATAACATTTTAAAGGAATATTGATACAACTGAGAACTGGTTACAAGTAGATATTGCTTTGTTTTATAGTTTAAATGATTGAAAATGAAAATGAAAAGCTGGAAACCACTGATAGCTGAATGTTTATTGAGACTCTCATTTGAAGACAGTTCCCTGATCTGTTGGGATGGGTTGAGAGTCTGTGGTCTTCAGTTGTACTTACAGGGTTGAGAGGTGGTCTGGACCTGATGAACTCCAGGATGACTTCATGAGCACTCTTCTTTAACTTGGGTGGGACGTCTCCATTTATCTGGAACAACAGAACAGGGTAAAAAATATAAAAAAGTTCAACACAGACGAGAAGACAGAATGTAATTTACTAACTGGACTGGACAATAGAGTACAGAAAAGATCATGAACTCTAGTAAGGTGTGAAACTGCCTGTTGCAGGACTACCAAATCCAGAACCATAAATAGAGTTACAAGCTACAGCTGCAACTAGTGATTATTTTCATTATCAATTAGTCTGACAATTAGAATTAAAAGTTAACATCAGTGAAAGTACTGGGGGTTTTTGTTTGTTAGGACAAGACAGCTTGAGAGATGCTAGGGTGCCCAGAAAGTCTTGTTTTGTCCAACAATGACTTGTATTTGCCACGTAACATGTATGGTTGGGATGAATCGAAGACATGGCACCATTTTCTACAACGTGTTATTAGACATGACAGCATTTTCTTTTTCTTTTTTTTTTAAAGTATATTTTTTGGGGCTTTTATTGCCTTTATTATAGTGACAGCTGAAGATAGACAGGAAAGGGGGGCAGAGAGAGGGGATGACACGCAGCAAAGG